TAATGTATTAGATGTAGAATGAAGTCTCTAGGGGAATGTTCTCGAAAAAAAAAGCATACATTGCATGCTGATATAGGTAGGTATGTTGGGTCAAATCACAGTTTGCAAAAGATAATTATAGTCAAGTGTGAATTTTTGACATATTGGGTCACAATATTGATTATTTTCCAATCTTTAAAGAACACCTTATATATAGCTCTTAAAATAAAAAGAAAAAAAGAAAACCAAATGAAAGCCTTTCCCAGCTCATGGACTGGCGGGGCAGGTTTTTATTTCCTCCCTGACTTTCTTTATGGCCTATGCTAATTGTTGCTACACTCCTTTCTCTCCTTAAGATTCGTGGTAGAGGGGATCCCTGGGTGGCGCAGCGGTTTGGCGCCTGCCTATGGCCCAGGGCGCGATCCTGGAGACCCGGGATCGATTCCCATGTCGGGCTCCCGGTGCATGGAGCCTGCCTCTCTCTCTCTCTCTCTCTCTCTCTCTCTGACTATCATAAATAAAATTTAAAAAAAATTAAGATTCATGGTAGAGGTGCCTGGGTAGCACAGTCGATTAAGCATCCAACTCTTGTTTTCAGCTCAGGTCTGATCTCAGGGTTGTGGGATTAAACCCTGTGTGGGGCTCCGCACTCACCTCGGAGTCTGCTTGGGTTTCTCTCTCCCTCTCCCTCTGCCCCTTCCCTGTCTCAAATAAATAAAATCTTTTTTTTAAAAAAAGATTTATTGTAGAGACTTCAAACTGTTAACTACAGAGGTAATGTGTATAATGGTTAAAAACACATGCTCTGAAGTCAGATTCCCTGAGTTCAAATTCTTTTTCTCGCTGTGTGATTTTAGGCAAAGTACCTAATTTTCTGAGTCACTGTTTTCTTATCCATAAAATGAAAGTAATGGCAGTCCTTCTGAACATTCACAAGTGGAAGTGTGTTTATACTTTTCAATGAGATTTTGTAGGGATAAATGGTGTAAGCATGTAGAGGGCTTAGCATGGAAGTGCTCAATGAAGATAAGCCACCAGTATTTAAATATTTGGGTTGTTATTTCTGCTAGAAAACAACAAATAGGCTTGATTTCTTCTTCCACCTTTCATTTATGAAATGTGTACTTAGGAAAAGACAGATACAACATTTACCTTTAGATGATAACGGGTTAATGCCAAATATAGGCATAAAAACTGAAAATAAATTTAGATGTTTTCAAACATCTTATAGACAAAGTACCATTTTATAGCTTTTCTTTTTATTTGACATATTCATTTCGTGGGTGTAGATATATGGGAAGCCAAGTCATTTTTATCCATTTGCCCCTTCTTGCCCACCTCTAGGAGCTATATGTGTGACATGGAACCTAATACATGTTACTTCTAATTTCTTTAATAATCTAGAGAAATAAAATTCATTAGCTCTATTTTACACTTTAGAAAACTAAAGCCCAAAAGTGCAATATGATTTATCTAAGTTCAGTCATTTAGTAACCATTGGAGCCACAAAATTGAAACCCTTCTTCCTTTAGAGTTGGTGCTCTCTCCCACAATGTATTTTATGATTCTAGGACTAATGGCATAAGAAGACTGCTTGATAAATTCACTGATCTTCAGCATTGTCAGTGCTAATGATCTGCATATCCAAACTTACTACTGGCAGTGTATTTCATGTTCACAAATAAGAATATTTTCAGGAGTTAGAAGTTTTGCTCACATACATAATAATAGACAAGTATATGCATTCCAAAATACCTGATTACACACAATGTAAGGTAAGGATCTTTTGTACACTAATAAATGGTGTAATGGTGTAATATTGGTGAAATTGGTGATTGCAAAGGATATGTTTGGGCATAATAGACACTGTCATACCATCTCTGTTTGGGTAGTCCTATTAAAAATGGAGAATGAGTAGTCCTTCAGAAAAATATGTGTGGCAAGGAAAGTATCACCATATTTAACATGGTTCTTCAGGAAAATATTTCTTGCTGTTCAGACAAATGTAATAGGTCAGTGAAACAGAATCGCAGGAGTTGATTCTAAATGTTGACCTCAGGATGCATGCTCCGAAGGAATGCTAACTACTCCTCCAATAATGCTTTGCTTATTTGGATACCATTAAAGGCTCCACTTGACAAGCATAATGATGGACTGCACTTTTCCTGTCAAGCAATACATGTTTGCATGATAGACAGCTCTGTTAAGTTGGGGATTTATTTTTCTTCCAAGGTCCAATTTTTCATCTTGCTCTGCAAATCCATGAAGTTGCTTAAAATTCACATAACTTATTGCTGATAAAGGGAAACCCTCTCTTTCCATCCCTGAGATTGAGCCTTGAGTGGTTCAGGGTATAATGATACATCTGTCTTAACAAACATAAAATCTCTTTGGTCCTCCAAAGGATGAATTTCCTGTCTATGTTCCAGTATATCTGACTCAATTGAATGAATGGGCCTATGCTTCAAAAAATGCTCTATTATCCACCTCATCTTATTTTATAAAAAATAAATAAATAAATTGAAATGATTGAAGTGTGAACAAACAGCTTTTTGTTGGATATTGTTTTATCCTTGATTTATTAGCGATTCTCGAGATTTTTTTAATTTTAACTATTTCATGCAAGACAAAACAAAATAAATACATTTGGCAGTTAAATAGATATGTCTCAAAATTGGGGGCATATTCTCTTTCTTGTTGCTTTTGTTGCTTCCTTACAGCCTTGGAAATGTTTTGCAATGAACTAGTGGGTTCTTCCAAAACAAATAAAAGTGAGATAGTTCTGTCAGAAAAGGGTAAACCACTGTAGATTATAATTTATGACAAAGGACAGACCCTCCCAGAACAAAACTAACTGAATCACTTCAAACTTCAATAGTGTGTCATCCTTTTGGCACTTAAAGGTATTCTTTTACTTTCAAGAGTGCCACTTAAAATGTAAATGCACCTGGAGGTACAAACTTAAACCTGTATTAGTCAACATGTCAGTTATTGATTAGGGGGCAGCTATTGACGATAAGCTGACCTAGGTTTCATGCCCAATCAGAAATGAGCTTGGCTATGAAAACATTCTTCAGGAAGTATTGCTTACCAGGCTTTGATCTCTCTGGACTCAGAATCTTGATTTTAATAGTCAGAAAGGGGTCATCTTGGTGGAAAATATCTAGAATAGTATTTAAAGTGTTGTTAAGGGGATCCTTGGGTGGCTCAGTGGTTTGGCGTCTGCCTTCAGCCCAGGGCGCAATCCTGGAGTCCTGGGATCAGTCCCGTGCTGGGCTCCCGGCATGGAGCCTGCTTCTCCCTCTGCCTGTGTCTCTGCCTCTCTCTCTCACTTTCTCTCTATGTCTATCATGAATAAATAAATAAATAAATAATCTTTAAAAAAAGTGTTAAGTTCAGATTGTATGACATGTTACATGTTCGTTGAGAACTATTAAACTGACATTGTAAAATGAAATCTAAACACAACGGTATCACTTGGGTTCCCAGCAGGAAATAGGTGGCATGCTCAAAGGAGTAATTAAAGATAATGTAATGCAGGGATTGAAGTCAGGTTTAAGTGAACCAACAAATGATAATGAAGCACCCGGAGATAAAAAGCAGGAAGCTATTATTACTGTTAGGCCTGAAGATGCAAGAAGATGGTACATGTTATTGAAATAGAACAAAAGCTAAGGCAGGGGAGAGGGGCCGACAGACAGGAGCTGTGATTCTCTAGATGGAGAAACAGAGCCATTGCCACACTGGGACCCAACACATTCAGTAAGGAGAACATCTATGTACCCTATCCCTCATTGCTCTTGCTCTTTGATCTCTAGTTGAGGCTTTCTGTTGACCTGATCCAACCAGGGGCAGCCTGCAGGGGAGCTCAGCCAGTAGTCTCTAGAGGCCAGTCCCCACTGGCGCAGCGCAGCACAGAGGAAGGTGGAGAATGAACCTGGAAGGACAGAGGGAGAATAATTAGCATGACATTTTATCATAACAGAATCATATGGGATATAAACCTCCAATTATTCCTCACTAAGGAGCTGGTGGGAGCTCGCTACCATTATTCTACTTCTCTGAATTTCTCTTTTCTGGGTTCTGAAAGTTCTCTTTGAGTTTTTTTGTTTTGTTTTGTTTTTTAAGATTTTATTTATTTAATCATGAAAGACACAGAGGTGGGGGGTGGGTGGGAAAGCAGGCTCCATGCAGGGAGCCTGACATGGGACTCGATCCAGGGTCTCCAGGATCATGCCCTGGGCCGAGGGCAGCACTAAACCGCTGAGCCATCAGGGGTGCCCTCTTTGAGGTTTTTATTCAGTTTTTTGCTGGTGTCATTCTGTACAAGAATACAATGCAATCGATATAGCAAGGATTTTTTTATTATTTGCAAAATCATCTTTTTTTTCTTTCTTTTTTGCTAAACATTGCTTAGTACTAAGATTTGAATAGTTGATTTCAATAAAGGATTTTTCTCTTTGACATAATTCTTAATATCCTGGCTGCCTAATTTCCCCATTATGCAGGGATGGCTTTCATTAGTTGATTTAGCTGTACGGCTCTCTCCTTAACTGTCCTGCCCTCCACCTCCTGCTTATAGTCAGTATTCCACTCAGCTCAGCAATGGGAAAGGCTTTTAAAATTTTTTTGAATGTGAGAGGTCACTCTGACTGGGGTCAGATCTTGAAATGTGAGTTATTTTTAATGTAAACTCAATTATTTTAACATGTCTGCCTTCATTCTTCTCTATTCTCTATTTCTTTTATTCCAGTTCCTTTACTATAGATTTTCTTTCCTTTTACATTTACGTGCAGCACTATGAATTAAATGTTGACATGATGGTACATAATACATTGTGTTTGAGGTGGTCTTCTAGGTCAACAGATGGATTAAAAACCAGGGCTGATTTTATAGTTTGCAGATCTATGTACCTCCCAAATAAACGTTTCTCAGAGATGGTGGCAAGAGTTTTGTTTTGTTTTTGTTTTCTTTACAAGTTATATGATTCTAACTATAGCTTTCTTTTTCACTCTATTCAGATTCGAAGCCAGAGCAAAGCTTCTGGGTCTGGCCTCTGTGAGGGGGATGAAGTGGTTTCTATCAATGGCAACCCTTGTGCGGACCTCACCTACCCCCAAGTCATCAAGCTCATGGAGAGCATAACAGACTCTCTCCAAATGCTTATCAAAAGGTACAAAAGATTTGTTGGAATATATATTTTCTCTTAAAGTTAGATGGGAATGACTATAGCTTTTATTAAATATATAATTTGTCATTTTTGGGGAAATTGGGGTGCTTTGTAGTAGATAAGTATAGTTAAACAGAAAAACCACCATGTTTGAAAACAGGCAATTAATTTTCTGGTTAATTAGGAATTAACTTGAAAATCTTTGTGTCATGAACGTTGTCGAAAATCTTAGGTATTTTAGAGTAGTATTTTCCTTAGAAAGCTTGTATGTTGTACATAATTTAATACTTCTAGGTCAAGATTTTGTGGTGGGTCAGGATCATTAAATTATAATTCCAGATTCACTGATGAATTAAAAATGTTTAACTTAGCTTTAGAGAACAAACTGATGGTTACCAGAAGGGTGGTGGTGGTAAGAAAGGGGGAGATAGGTGATGGAGATTAAGAAGTGTACTTGTCATGATGAGCACCAGGTATTGTATGGAAATGTTGAATCACTATTTTGTACACCTGAAACTAATATTACACTGTATGTGAACTCTACTGGAATTAAAATTAAAAAAATAACAGCAGTCAATTCCATAAAAAAATGTTTAGGTCTTAAACTGTTACACTGTACAATAATTTTTTATAGAAAGAGAATGCCGAGGAGAAGGAAAAGAACAACAAAACCCAGAAACAGCTCAATTTCTGCTTCTCAGTACCTCCAGTAAAACCATTTGGGAGTGGACAAGAGCAGATGGTTAGAAAAAAGTTTTGAACTATTTTTTTTTTTTTAAGTTTTGGACTATTAATGGAAATCACTTGTTAATTTGCTCTCCCCAAATACCACCCTCTCCACCTAATTGCTTAAAAATGGAGTGGTAAACTTTAAACATCCAAAACAAACAAACAAAAAAACAATAAGGGCAATCACAAAAAAAAAAAAAAACCCAAAACTACAGCATCATCATGGTGTGCAAATCACAGTACTGTACACAGATCCATACTGACTTTGCAAGTGAGGCTCTGATCATGACATTGTAATGAATCCAGAAAGGAAAGTTTTGGCTTCCTGGAGAGTAGCCTTCAGGGAGATGCCAGAGGACAATCTCACACAGGATTGAAAGCCCTCCAATTTTGTCTTAACTCTGCAGAAACCCGACGTGCAGCATCACCCCTCTGATAATCATTCACTATTGGTTCCATTTCTATACACATATAACATACTATGGTATGGACATAATCTTATGAAAATAAAAGAAATGTAGCACTATTCTTAGAATCTCCCCTCTAAATATTTACCCATCAAGCCAATGCTTAAGCCTTTAGGATCCTATTTAATTATAAAGCTGCCATTTGCTTTTAAAAGAAAACTAACAGGGGTCTTGCCAAGCGTGGACACAGTGTTTGCCATTATCAGGCATACATCTCTGAGGTATTTGAGGACCTCCATCTTTGTAAAGGCTTAAACACATCCCAAATAGGGGAAAACTTTTTTTCTAATTTATTCCCTTTTTAGTGTCTTCACTCTTTTAATGAGGCCAATTTCTTTGGAACATATTTGTGGTCTGGGACATTCCCTGCTAGTTCTTGTTTTGATTACAATGACTATCACTGGGAAAATCCTTAGTGATTTAAAGCAGAGCCTTAGGTACATATTTACTTTCAGAAATAAATGAACTAGTTCTCTGCTACTTTTAATAACTGGAATTTTGATTAATATTATTTTCTCTTAAGTATTTTGACTTCTGAAAAATAATTAATTGATGAGATTCAAATGCAATCTCAAATTAAAATCAGCCCAAAGGCAATCATCATCATCATCATCATGACCATTCTGAGTATCTGAACATTGTACTTATGTAGACTGAGAGAAAATGAGCATTGTAAGGTACAAATCTTTAACCTTTAGTGCTTTTATGGTTTTTATTCGTGTATATTCATTCTACTTCTACTACTAGTAAATGTTAACATTTTTCTGACCCAATTATCTGTATTATACTCTGTAAGACTGGAATAAATTCAAATGACTCTCTTCTCAGCTCCAAAATTGATTGCTAACATAATTCAAAGTGATTTAATCTACTTCCATCCGAGGCCTTCTTAAATTAAAACTCTCTGACCTTTTGGTACCATCAAATTTAGTTGCATAGAGTATATTAATCATTTCCTATATAAGAAAGATCTAATTTGCTATCATCTTGTTTTTAAAATGCTTTATTATAATTTTTTAATTACCAGGAAGCTTTACAGATCATTTCCTTAGAGAAAGTTACATTTCATTTGACTATTAATTTTTTATTGTTTTGCTTAGTTTTGCTTTATTAAATGCCATCAAAAGCAAAGTTAGCAATGATTTTGAACTTTAGTCAGAAATTATATCAGATAGATTCTAAAGTATATTCCTTTGGGTAGCCCCTTGAGTAGGAGTCCTCTTCCTTCAAATGATGATCTGGCATTAATCGGGGTGTGTGGGCAGCCCCAGTGGCTCAGCGGTTTAGCGACGCCTTCAGCCCAGGGTGTGATCCTGGAGACCCTGAATCGAGTCCCACCTTGGGCTCCCTGCACGGAGCCTGCTTCTCCCTCTGCCTGTGTCTCTGCCTCTTTCTCTTTCTGTGTCTGTCATGAATAAATAAATAAAATCTTAAAAAAAAAAATCAGGTGCATTTTGAGGAAGGAGGAAAAGGGCAGAGATAGACACTGCTGCTTTTTAAAAAAAAAACTTACAAATGTGAGACATGATGGCATCTCCTACAGCTGTTCTGTGAGTGATGCCTCTCTTCGAAAAGCAGTTCGAGTTTAAATCAGAGTTTTAGCAAGAAGTCGTTTGACTCTTAAACTGACATTGCTTCTTGCAAACCCAGATTTGCAAAACCAGCTGGGAATGGTTAAGGTCAAAAGCAAAGGATGGTGGTGGTGAGCAGAGCTGGGCTTCTTAGCTGAAAGAAAAAGAACAGTTGGACTTCAGAGATCCTGTAAGGAAGTGCTCCGACAGACAGGTTCAAATAGGAGAAGGGGAGACATCCCTGATTATAAATACTCCATGACTCAATGATTCATTGCAGCATGGAAAGGATTTCTCTTTACACAAGAGTACTGGGCTGGGGTCCACTTATTACAAAACACATGCTCACTGGAGCTTGAAAAACAGCTTCTATTTCATTCCTTTCAAGAAAGCACAGCTTCTAAAAGGATTACTTGAATTATCTGTATATTAATATTTCTCTGAAGCTGCTGAATATGTTTACGTGACATTATAATGTTCAGACATAAACTTAGTAAGACATTGAAATGCTTTGTCATATTAGAACAAACATGGTTATTTGAAAGCACCCAAGTAATTTCAGATAAAGGACATCTGTGTAGCTCTAACCTGTGCTTTTGAAAAATAAAAGCTGAATTTAGATGGATGTAGGTTCCACAATCCTTTGTTAAGGATTTTTGCTTTGATTTAAAGAAAAGTTTATTTGGAAGATATTTAAATAATAATATAAACATGTTGCCAACTTCTGCTTTCAAATATGTTGCAGTTGACATTTAAGGAGGAAATATTTTGACTGTATCATGTATCATAAAAGTGTCAGGAAGTTCTTTGGCAGGTGTAATGCTCTGATTTAACCATCTGGACTGATTCTTCTGTGTGCAGACCATCCAGTGGAGTAAGTGAGACTTCCGTCTCTGAAACTGAAAACAAAACCCCTGGGCATCTCACCCATGAAGGGCATGTGGAAAGTACCACCCTGCAGATTCGGCCGGCGGCAAAGAGCCAGCACAGAGAAGTCTACGTTGCCTCGGTCAGGAGTGGGGCTCCCCGAGCTGAGGACCAAGGGAGTGGTCCTGGTTTTTCTGGGAGCATAAAAGAAGCAACAGGCCTGAGCTACCATGTGGCCCCCCAAATGCCTGACTCCCAAAGAGGATGCTTAGCAGAGGAGATTATCTTAAGGGAGAAAGCAGAAGTTGGGCAGCCAGGCCCTGTGGTTGAGCTACAACTGTCCCTTTCACAAGAGAGACACAAGGTCACGAATGTCCCCGTGGTGGCTCTCCTGGGGTCTGAAAAATCCAAGTCTCCTGAGCCAGATCCTCATGTACAACACGACGGGATTGTCCACATAAATTCAGTCCCCACTGCTGAGAAAGGGGAGCCTTCTCTGAGGTCCAGCAAGATAATCCAGATCTCCAGTGGCAAAGAGTTAAAAGTGATCCAGGGAAGTGAAGCGGGAGACACGGGGCTGCCCCGAGTGGAAGTGATACTCGACTGCTTGGAGAGGCAGCCGACGGGAGGGTGCAGGCTTCAGGCAGGAAAGGGGTGTGTGGATTCCCCGGGGGAAGGAGGGCAGTCCGAAGCACCTCCTTCTCTGGTATCCTTTGCAGTCTCATCAGAAGGCACAGAGCAGGGAGAGGATCCACGCTCGGAAAGGGATCACAGCAGACCTCACAAGCACAGAGCACGCCACGCACGTAAGTCCTGCCTGGGCCGCTGCCGGGCTATTGGAAGGGGCCTGGGATCTCAGGGCGTTTTGCTGCTGCTGCACTCACACGGACTTTTTTCTTTTTAAAGATTTCTTTGGTGTATCTCTGTGGTTTAAAAAAAATTTTTTTTTAAATTAATGAACAGAATAACAAATGTGAAATCGTGGAGAACACCCATTTCTGAAATGAAGGCAGTAAGTTTGCAGCTTGTTGTAGAGATGTAAATATATTTAAGGCATTTTCTTGTATCCCCAAAGGCACAGGAGCTGTTAAAGAAAAATCATATTATTAATGTGTCTCTTTGACTTGTCTCAGAATGTTGTAATATTGCAGGTAAAATAGCAGAGGGGAGTCTTTGAAGTCATGTGGACTCCGCGTCTAAATGTCAAAAACTGTTGAGTCTGCTGAGAGAGGTGTCCTGAAAATACAGGCTCCACCACTAATATTAAAAGCAGATCCTCATTTTGAAAAAATATCATTGTGCAGCTTGATGATGCTTGCAGAAGTGAGTTTGACAGACAAGGACATGTGGAATACTGAGCAGTTACATGATCCTCTCCGTTTTAGATGTCTTCACTCGACTGCAAAGCATTTCTTCTACCTTCTAGACACACAAGTCAGTCTCCTGGGCCCTGTGGAGGCATTTAAATGTCCCCAAACATAAAATATATTTAAATTCAAGGCCGTTTGCAGTGTTTTGTTTTACCCAGGGGAGTGATTACAGAAAGGAGAATGAAGATAAGAATGTCAGTTAGGTTTATGATTTTTCTTTTCTTTTCTCTCTTTTTTTTTTTCCTTTTTTAAAACAAATTTTAGAATTTCATTCGAGGAGATAAAGGCTGACTGGCAAAGGCACTTGAACGTATGAATGATACACAACGGTAATGAAGTCAGTTATTCAGAGTGCTGTACTAAATCTTCTATCCTCTCATTATTCCCTTCAAAGCATATTTTTAGCATAACCATTTGTAGCTTTATTGGCAAGTGCTGTTAATCATCCTTATACTTGAAGCATCTGTATGCATCTTCACATTTATAGAATATTAAACAAGTGTATTAAGGCAGCATTCACATACTTTACATGTTGGCAGTGAAGTTAGCAACAACTGTGACTGTCAATTTAATACTAAGTTGTATAACCCTGGTCAAAAAAAAGGAGTTACACTTAGTAATGATCACACTTTTTACTATTTTCTTGAAATAAAATTGGATTGCCAGGGAATATCTGTAACTTTGTTATAAAACTAATTCACTCTGATTCTGTTTTATTTTTTTTTAAAAATCACGAAGTCTGACTTTGTTCCAGTGACAAAAAAAACTAATTTTCAATCATGAAATATTCAGCAAGTTTTTCTGAAATTTCCATTTAACTATTTTGAAGAACTCAAAACTTGCTGGTGAATCATGCTCATAGTCATTAAATACATGGTGACAATTAAATGATGCCATAAACCAGTTTGCCACCAATTCGTTGTTTATACCAATCATGATAAAATTAGGAATCTAAATATAAATGTGTGTTACTTTGAAACTGTCAAACTCTCATTTTAAATGACTTAATTTCTGCATCAGCTTTTACCCACAGTTAAGAGGGTCACTAGTCACATAATTTTTAAATTTCCCCCAAGATTGACACATTCTTGCTGCAACTAAAATAATGTTATATTTCCAAAGAGCAATTCATTTCAAACAAGTTTATCGTGACAACTTTGTAGCTTAAATTTCTTGCGTGTATTGACAATGATCCCATGTCCTGAATTATTAGCAATTATTGATTCAGTGCCTTCAATTGTTATTCATTCAGGTTTTTAAATTTATACTAATCCAGTCACCATGAGTGCAAGGACTTTAGGGAGACGTGAAATTAAAAAAAAAAAAAAGGAGAAGAAAGCTTAAATATTTAAATTCATTACATTGAAACACTTAAGTAAATAAGTTTCTTGCTCCCCTGCCCCCCACCTCCACTGTTTAAAAATGCTTGGAAACAGTTTTATATTGCCATTTTATTTTTTAGATATGGAAGTACAAGGTATTTCTTAAGTAGTTTTTCAGAAAATACTGTGTCCTTAAATTGTTTCCTTTTTAGTTCTGATTACATCCTATCGACTGACATTTAGTAGCCAGTGTTTACTGGCTACTAAATGAGCAGTTACATGACTCAATATCAATATATTTAAAATATAAAGATCCATATGCTACCTATATCCTAATCACGATAGGTAAAGATGTATTTTATTTATATAAGCAAGCGAAACAGACCATTGGGTAGAGTTATATATGTCACTGTCTATCATCATGGAAGTATACATTTTAAAAGAAATAAGAAAGAGAAAGGAGACGGATTGCTTTAAAATTCAGTGGCCACGTGTAAGCGTGTTGATTTCTGGGTTCCTAGGAGGTCTTCTCGGAATTCATCAACTCACTATGATTTTTGTGCTTTCCCTAGGGCTCAGGAGGAGTGAAAGCCTATCAGAAAAGCAGGTGAAAGAAGCGAAGTCTAAATGCAAAAGCATTGCCCTCCTTCTTACAGACGCCCCCAACCCCAACTCCAAGGGGGTGTTGATGTTTAAGAAGCGCCGCAGGCGGGCCAAGAAGTACACCCTGGTCAGCTACGGCACCGGTGAGCTTGAGCGCCAGGCCGGCGAGGAGGAGGAGGAGGAGGAGGAGGGTGACAAAGAGGAGCCTTGCGACACAGCACTTCTGGGCACGAGTGAATCGGAGGTGGAGGAAGAGTTAGCGTCCGACATCGACGACAGAGCGCAGGTTGTGAGCTTTGACTGGGATTCGGGACTAGCGGACTTCGAAAAGAAGCTGAACAGAGGGGACGCGATGGAGATGCTGCCGGACACCTCGGGCAAGGGCGCCCTCATGTTCGCCAAGAGGAGGGAGCGAATGGATCAGATCGCGGCCCAGAAGGAGGAGGAGAGGGTGGGTGCGATGCCAGGCCGGGAGCCAGGTGCTGCGCGCACGGACGGCCTGAGGGCCGCGGCTTCTTACCAGAGGAAGGAGGAAGCGTCTGTAAGAACGCAGAGCTCGGTGAGCAGAAGCTACATCGAGGTGAGCCGCGGCCCGGGCCACCTGCCCCAGCAGAACGGCTTCAGGGCGGGGCCCGAGGCGGCAGAGGCGCAGAGGACGGGCCCTCGGAACAGAACAGCCCAGCCCTTCCCGGGGCCGGGGAGCCAGCCGGGGAGCCAGCCCGCAACCCCCTTCTCCCCCACGCGGAACGTGAGCAGCCCCGTCGCCGACTTCCCTGCGCCGCCGCCCTACTCCGCAGTCACACCCCCGCCCGAAGGCTTCTGCGGGGCCGCGTCCAGCCCGACCGCCGGCGCGCCCCAGCCGCCCCCGTGGCCGCAGCCCGCCGCGTGGTCCCAGGCGGCCTTCTACGACTCCTCGGAGCGCATCGCTTCGCGGGACGAGAGGATCGCCGTGCCGGCCAAGAGGACCGGGATACTGCAGGAGGCCAAAAGGCGAAGCACCACAAAACCCATGTTCACCTTTAAGGAGCCCAAAGTGAGCCCCAACCCTGAACTCCTGTCACTTCTTCAGAACTCGGAAGGCAAGAAGGGAACTGGGGCTGGGGGCGATTCGGGGCCCGAAGAAGACTACCTCAGTTTAGGGGCAGAGGCTTGCAATTTCATGCAGAGCTCCTCCGCCAAGCAAAAGACTCCACCGCCTGTGGCTCCCAAGCCTGCGGTCAGGTCCTCGCCCTCCTCCCAGCCAGTAACTCCGGCTTCTGCAGTCTGGTCCCCGGGAGTGGCCCCGACCGTCCCTCCTGCCTTCCCCGCGTCCGGCCCGGCCCAGGGCACCGTCGTCTCCTCCATCAAGATAGCCCAGCCTTCCTCGGCCCCTGGCCGGCCCGCGAGCGCCCTCACCCTGGCTGGTCCCTTCAGGGGGCCGCACGCCGCAGTGGCCGGGCCCGGCTACACACCTAAGGCCACGGCCCCCGCCCCCACAGTGAACGCTGCGCACGCTGCTGCGGCGGGGGCGGCCGGCGAGCTTCCAGCAATGAGTGGCAAAGGAGCCCAGCTCTTCGCTAAAAGGCAGTCCAGGATGGAGAAGTACGTGGTGGACTCAGACACGGTGCAGGCCCACGCCGCTCGTGCCCAGTCTCCCACCCCGTCTTTGCCGGCCGGTTGGAAGTACTCCTCCAACGTCCGAGCGCCTCCTCCCGTGGCCTACAATCCTATCCACTCCCCCTCCTATCCCCTGGCCGCCCTCAAGTCTCAGCCATCAGCCCCACAGGCCTCCAAGACAAGCAAGAAGAAGGGCAAGAAACCCCTCAATGCTCTGGACGTCATGAAACACCAGCCGTATCAGCTCAATGCATCCTTGTTCACTTTCCAGCCCCCAGATGCAAAGGACGGCCTCCTGCAAAAGTCCTCTGCCAAGGTCGGTTCGGTGCCAGCCATGAAGCAAGCGCTCCCTCCGCGGCCCGTGAATGCTGGCTCGCCCACTACGGCGCAGGCCTCCTCTGTGTACTCGGTACCAGCGTATAGCTCCCAGCCTTCCTACTTTGCAGAGGCCACCTCACCAGTCAGGGCATCCCCAGTGCCCGTGGGCATTCCCACCTCTCCAAAGCAAGAGTCAGCCTCTACATCGTATTTTGTGGCACCGAGGCCGAAGTTCTCCGCCAAGAAAAGTGGTGTCCCAGTTCAGGTGTGGAAACCATCTATTGCGGAAGAGTAATCTTGTAGCCGAAGCTGAGAGTCTGCTTTGCTTGAAACAGATTGTTTGCAGTGTTACTTGAGTCCCCGAGAATGCCTAGCAAAGTCCTCAACTTACTTAATTTCAAATGTCACTTCCCAATCTGGGTCCAAGGAGCATAGTATTTTTAATGAGTCAAACATCTATAGAACTCAGATTGACTTAAAACATATTTATCTTCTTTGCACACTTAAGAAATATGGGAGCACCCCAAAATAGACATGTGCCACTATGTTAAGTAAGCAGGATACTTAGGATTTACGCTTTAGTCACGAGAAAGACAGTGATCGGTGTTATCAAACACTGCACACAGCCTTGATGCAGCGTAATCGCTGTGTTCCTCTGGCGAAAAGGTTCAAATGTAGTGAAAATATAACCTGTATTGACTGAGATTTCCTTTTTAGGTAGTGCTTTATCTCTATTCCTAGTGTTAAGGGATAAGAACTTTATTGAGGACAGGGATCAGCTCTGGTCTGTCAACCTCAGCCACCTGTTTGATATTGCAGACGAGGTACTCTGGGGATTGTTGAAATGTTCATAGTTTAGTAAGAAGGGTAAGGAAGAGGGTGTCAGTAATTACTGAGCACTTATTATGTGTCAGGTTCTTTGCCAGGTATTTCCTGTGTATTAGCTCATTTCGGAAGACTTCTCTCAAGTAAATGAGAGAGGACAAGAAGGATCACTATAGAAAACGATTTCCGTCTTCTCTTCCCAGTTACTTAAGAAACTAAGGGAGTGTATCTCCAATTGCCCATGAAAGTGTAAGCTTCTGTTCCTCAGCTGAGACAAGTGGTAGAGGGCGGATAAAGGAATAACACAAAGAAGGGTGAGCAGGCTGCAGATAAAGGTACATATGACTGTTCTGTTCCCTTGGGAAAGCACGCGGTTGAGGCATGAAGGGTTGCTGGCTACAGGGGCTGATTGTGAAGCACGAGGAACCCCATGTGTGTGGAGGCCGTAGGGTGAGAACACACAATTCTTAGCATCATTTCTGAGTGACCTCACAGATTTTTTTCCTTGTGTTTGTTTTGCTTTCTGACTACTGCTTCTCCCACTGTTCCTTGCAATTCTATTCTCGCATCTTCACTTTGTAATTTATATTTGATGGACCAGGAGGATTCAGGCAAGGTTACCTTGTAAATTTGGATTGGTCACACACCATGCCGTCATCCAGCTGGCTATGAAGTTAATAATGTTACTGACAGTAAACCTGAAGACCTTTCTCAAATCTATTTTTAAGTCCAAGTCTGACCAACCACGGAAAATATTCAACATGAATTAATGTAGAGAACCACAGAGCATTTTTGACAGCTCCAAGGAAAACCACCTACTCAATATAGGAGATATGTTTAGAGACCTCTTACAAAAACTTGCCTGCTCTGAGGGTACATGGTACCATTTTTATCCTCTGAAAATGTCTGTATTCCTGTTCTTTTACTGCTGTCACTGTCAACCTGCTATATTTTTCATTATCCTATTAAAATATCACTTTCTTCTTTATCTGTTTAATGTACATATGTTTTAAAATAATCTTCTCTGTATGGGCTACTCTGACCTAAGCCAATACTCTGAATTTCTCTTCTATTGCCCCCGAAATATCTGAGTTTCCTCTTGTGAGAGTATTCATTTCTCTGTATATTGTAAAAATTCAAGCTCTACGTTGTAAAACTCCAAGACAGATCACACAAAAATAATTAAGCCAGCTACAGGACAATGGGGCTGTTTCTTCTGCCTTTTTTTTTTTTTTTTTTTTTATGGAAAATCTTCCACTGCCTCTGGTGGCAGTTTACCTAGAGGTTATAACCACAGGATGTAGCTCAGTCTTCCATTTGCCTTTTTGGGAAATCAATTAGGAAGATTAATACAGGGTGAAGGAAAAAGCAATCTATCCATTATTTAACACTATTGTTTGTATTACTTGTTCCCTTGCAAAGGCAGTCTGTTAAATGCTGTGCATTGTGCATTCTTTTCTAATAGGACAACCAAAAAAGGCTTCTTAAGGTGAAGCAGGAAAGGAGATCATTTTTATAACTTTGCATTCTTGACATAGCATTTAAAGAATAGTATGAAGGAGAGGAAAGATAATGGAACACAAAGCAGTTAATTTGAGATCACCAGTTCAAATGTAGCCGGGGATGGTAATGACCCACAAGTATTCCCAGTTGTCCACTGGTTTGTGGTATGTAGGAATGAGAAGTGTTTTCAGTCCATTTCCTGTAGGACAGGTGGCAATCTTAGCAGAGCCACTATTTGGAGTTGATGACTAAACACCCCACTAGCATAACTGGGAGTGTCATAGGGTTCCCAAAAAGCTTCTAAGAAACATGCTAGGCATGCAATCAAAGTTTCCACAACTTTGGGAACTGGAAGCATAGGTCTCATCTTGAATTATACGGTCCTACGTTATGGAGGAGGGGTGGGAATCCTCCCAAACTATTATCTGTGACAGAGTGTGACCACTTATGAGGATAGGGGAGTGGGAGGAAAAAGAACTGAGCTGGCCCCCTGGAGTAAGAGGGATTCCCTTTGCCTCTTCTCCTCAACCAGAGAGCCTCCTGGGAACTTGCATGCAGAATAAGCTATATGTACCATGTTTCAGGTTGGAGTTATGGGAATGATGTCAGTGTGGGAGGTGCGAGCCTTAGAACCCATGAGCTCAGCTTCCTGCCCACTGGGCACCCTTTGCAATCTGGGTGTTGTTTGGCTTTGTTGTGGTAGCAGATGTTTGGTTGGTTGTGGGGTAGGAGGAGGCAGATTTTGTTTAGTTTTTAGCATCTTGCCATTTCCTCTGTCCTTTGTGAGCTTAATTTCTAGGCAGAGCACCTGTGAAGTCAGGTTTTCGTCATCAACACCATAGCAATGACCATTTACTGAGTGCCTATGTTCTGTTTGGTGCCTTATGGACCTTATCCCAAGGAATCCACTGCATGGTTCATGGGCACTGGACTATAAAATAAAATGTAGTCACAGTCATCACTGACTTGCTGGGGGATCTCATGCAATTTTTTTCCCATGAATTTCCCCTTCACAGTGTCTCAAACCTCTCTTCCTGGACCGTTGTGCCGTAATGAGTACGCACAACACTAGATATCCTAGAAAGGGAGGCATATGTAAATCTATATACAGCATATTCCTCTCGGTCTTGTAGGAGAGTAGATTGACTCACAGAACTGGCAAGATTGGGAATCTGAGCATTGCCACCTGAGTCTTAAAACGTTTACGATTTTATTTCTAGTATTTCAATAAGAAACACATTCTGTTTAGAGAGAGAGGAAGAATCACACTGCTTCTGCATTTTGACTATTCCTTGACAGTACAAAGCATAAGCTTTTAGGAATGTGTTTTTATAAGACACATTTGGGTTGTCATTCGGGAGCATGTAAATGTTTGTACTTCAAAATATATGTAGCACGATTGTTAATGATAACATGTATCTCACTTAATCTGCACTAGAAGCAACTCATTTAACTACAGGAACCCCAATCCAAGTTTCAAAGAGTTCTTTCAAGAAAGCTGGGGTTCTTTAATTCTAGATGGAAATGGACTTTAACTCTTTCAAGAAATGGGTTTCTTCATAGGGCAGCTGCATATTATCACACAGCCTAAATTCTAGCCTGACAGCAAGAGTCACATCTGAGGTGTCAAAAACAAATGATCTGCATTTAAAGGCAAACATGGGACCATTGTCCTATTTACAGGTCGTAGGTTAAAGAACTTTGAAGGTCGTTTTGCTGCTGACAGGCATATCAAACCCTGGAACTCCGTGGCACTTTCACAGGCAAGCCTCTTAAGAGCCGAGGAAGACATGGCTAGTAGTGTCCGAGGGTGGGTGGAATTAACCTTTCAGACAAAAGCCCTCGCCATGTATCCTTTTATCCAGTTTTAAAGTTGAGAAGCTGCAAGCACCCGTATTCTAAGGGTGAGTTCCTGAAATCCGCTGCTGTTTTATGAGTCACAACCGGCCTGGCAGGAAGGGTATTTGAAGTCATAGTTATCAAAAAGAAGTGATTGTTTTCTGAAAAGCTAAATGCTTAAAATGCTTCCAGAGGGAAGCAGGGGGCAGCGCGCTCCTTCCCTCCTAAAATCAGTGGTGTTGAGTTTGTTTTAAAGATTGCCTAAAGCTCATGAGAAAAATATATAAATTCTAAGAACCAACATTATATTCCCAGGCACACTGACCCTCACTGGTCTCATGTCCCTTATCACTGGACTCTGGGGGACACAAAGATTCATGTAACACTTCAGTGCTACCAAGTTCGTCAACAAGTATTCTGGGAAAAAGCAGAATTGAATTCTTCTCTAGACTTCCCACCAGGGTTGGCCAAAGGCCATAAAGCAAACTAGCAAATTCCCATAGGACCCAGACACCAGACAAAATCACAAAAGAGGCCAGTCTCCGTTTCTCCCTCTATGGTTTAAGAAGAAAAAAAAAAAGTACAAAAATTGTAGTCTATCCTATGGAGCAACAGACCAATAAAAATCAGTCTTCTGGAAGAGCCCCCACACCAGACCTATTCTTTCCTTAACATTATCAGGTACGGTCAGTTTCTTAGATTTTTAAAAAGTTAATGGATTTCTATGGTGTGTGTGTACACTAAATTACCATTTGGCACTTGGAAATCAGAGAGCTCACTACTCAGAGACAATTGGATGAAGAAAAAATTTATTTTGAAACCTTCAAATCCTGTCAGACATTTCTCAGATTCCTGATTTTATACCAAGTTTGATAGCTAATTAAGTGTATCTCAAGTACAAAGGAAGCTAGGTTTATACAGGGTCCTATAGTCTAAACAATTTTTTGTTATTGATACAGAGAATTTATTTTACCTATTTACCTCATTCTTGACATGTTTATCTAAATTATGTATGCTTTATGACTCGTGAAATATACATTCAGGGTCCCTAATAAAAATAGTCCTGAGGACCTACTTTCCAGCCTACCTTTCTTCCTC